GAAATGTTATACAGTGTAGTAGCATGCTCTGTTATCCTATGCTATCTTGTATTATGGTATGATATGGAGTGGTAAGCTATACCGTTTAATGTTACGGTTAAATACATATTATATTTAACATATAATTTGTCATTATACGGACCACGAGTCTTACTTTAAACCTTGTTGAAAATCAAAATAAGATCATTAACTATTGATTTGATTTTACATACAAAGCCTTATATATGTCTATTTACCTTTTAAAATCGCAGCATTTATAATCGTAAACATAAACCAAACTAAACAAAAAATGTATATGTAAATACAGTCGCAGGCCCTCTAACTATTATCGTCTTATCATTAAATAATTCATTAAATTATCTATCATTCTCGATATATATATATATATATATATATATATATATATATATATATATATATATATATATATATATATATATATATATATATATGTATATATGTATATATATATATATATACATATATATATATGTATATATATATATATATATATACATATATATATATATATATATATATATATATATATATATATATATATATATATATATATATATATATATATTTATATATAAAGGTATTTATATTATATGTTATTTCTACTTTTTTTATTCCCGATTTTTTCACTCAAAAGCCTGCCTATAGATGGAAGCTCCGTCGCCTCTGCCCCTTTGCGTTCCCTTGGGCTGACCTTGAGCGACAGAAACGTGACCTCCAGAGTGCGTAGGGTATTTACGCTTTTATTTTCGCTCTCTCTCTCTCTCTCTCTCTCTCTCTCTCTCTCTCTCTCTCTCTCTATATATATATATATATATATATATATATATATATATATATATATATATATATATATATATAAATATATATATATATATATATATATATATATATATATATATATATATATATATATATATATATATATATGTATATATATATATATGTATATATATATATATACATATATATATATATATATATAAATATATATATATATATATATATATATATATATATATATATATATATATATATATATATATATGTATATATATATATATATGTATATATATATATATACATATATATATATATATATATATATATATATATATATATATATATATATATATATATATATATATATATATATATATATATATATATGTGTTCTTTCATGTGTGTGTGCGGGGTGTGTGTGTAGATAGATAGATAGATAGATAGATAAATAGATAGATAGATAGATAGATAGATAGATAGATAGATAGATTAGATAGGTCAAGTAGATGCATAGATAAATAGGCAAATCGACAGTTTGAAAGCTATAGATACATCCACTGATTGAATGAGAACTAACCTACATCCGGGTCCACGGAAGTAGGCCTATCACACTATCCAATCCCCCCTCCCCCCCTCCTGTTCCCTCTCTCCCATCCATCTCCCTTCCTCTCCCTTCTCTATCCCTCTCCCCCTCCTCTTGCCCTCCTCCTCCCCTTCTCCTCTTCCTTCTCCTCTTCCTTCTCCTCCTCTTCCCTTCCCCCCTCTCATCTCCCTCTCCCCTTCCCCTCCTCTCCTCCCTTCTTCCCCTCTCCCCTCCCCACCCCACCCTTTTCACACCTCGTCGTCGTATTTTTCCGGAAAAAGCACATTAGGTGAGTCCGTGTGGGTTAGCATCCTGTTCGCCCAGATAACGAGGTATCAACAGGGACGAGGCTGTAAGGTCGATGGTCAGATGTCACTTGCTGCGCATACTCGTCTTTAGTGATGATGACTCCCTTGCTTATTTAGGTTTATGTCATATTTAATCTCTCTCTCTCTCTCTCTCTCTCTCTCTCTCTCTCTCTCTCTCTCTCTCTCTCTCTCTCTCTCTCTCTCTCTCTCTCATTCTTCCTCTTTCCCCCTCTCGCTTTCGTTTCTTTTTCTCCGACTCTGTGTGTGGGGGGGAGATAAATAGAGAGAGAGGGAGCGAGAAAGAGAGAGAGAGAGAGAGAGAGAGAGAGAGAGAGAGAGAGAGAGAGAGAGAGAGAGAGAGAGAGAGAGAGAGAGAGAGAGAGAGAGAGACAGACAGACGAGAAAC